CCCCCACTACAACTCAAGGAATCTAAGACCTACGAAATGGCATTAGTAAACCTGGAAACCTATAACTCCATCCCCAACATTCATACAGGTAACAATTCCTTCCGCTACTCCCCCGACGATGGTGCCAACTGGTTTCCCATCGCACTAAGCACAGGTTCCTATGACATCGAAGACATCAACAATGAGATCCAGCGGCGGCTACGGCTCAACAAACACAAAACGAAGATCATCATCGATGCCAACCGGGCGACCCTAAGAGCAACGCTGACCCTCGCCAGACACTATCAAGTAGACTTCAACGTTGTCAATAGCATCAACGCCGTCTTGGGATTCGAGCGGCAGATTTACACATTCGATATGATCACAAACGGCTATACGGAAGGGGAACATATTGTAAATATCATCAGCATCAACAGCATTCTGGTGAATAGTGATATCATCCATGGAAGTTATGTGAATGGTACACAGCAGTCTACCATCTACAACTTCTTTCCCGCAGACGGTCCTGGTATGAAGATCATTCAAACCCCAAAGAATCTAGTATACTTGCCGGTGACCTTGCGAACCATCAATCGCATGCAAACGTATCTCACCGATCAAGATGGTAGGCCCATCGATTTCAGGGGTGAACATCTCACCATCCGCTTTCATCTTCGTGAGGTATAAATAAATGACTTATCAAGAACATGGTTTGAGTTTGACAAAAGGTCAAGCTGATAAACTACAACGGGCGGCTAAGAAAGGTTGTCCGGTCTCCATTCGTTTGTCCCACGCAAACCTGCAAGGCGAACACAAGATGTGGCTCACCACCCGCCAGGTTCAAAAGATCGCCAAGCTCCTACAAAAGGGTACTGGTGGTATGGTCCTAGAGTTGAGTGCGACCCAATTGAAGGAAAACATGCAGAAGGTGGGTGGTTTTCTACCCATGTTGGCGGGGCTGGCAATGAGGGCACTCCCCATGTTAGCAAAAACCATTCTACCCGCCTTGGGTGTTGGAGCCTTGAGTGGTCTTGGTGGTGTAGCCGTCAACAAGGCCTTAGGGTCTGGATTGTACCTGAAACGTGGTGGATGCGTTTGCACCGTGAAACCTAGTGGCAACGGTCTCTACCTCAAACCTTCAAACGCCCGGATCACCTATGGTGATGGACTCTACTTGAAGCGTGGTCAGCAATTCCACGACGGAGCTGGTCTGATCTTAGGTGCTAACAGCCCCTTCAAAAATATTCCCCTCCTCGGTATGCTCCTATAAATAAATGGATGATTTAGATTCTGGATACCGACAGACCAGAGTCGAATGTATGGAAGATCAACTCAACGCGGATATACATAAGTATCAACATACCTTGAAGATCTACAAACGTCTGGACAAAGTTGTATCTGTAGCACTGGGTGTTTGTTCTGTGGGCAGTTTGGTGTTAACCAGCTGCACCATGGGTTCAGCTTTGACCGGTATAGGTATTATAGCCTCCCTTCCCCTAGGATCCCTTGCGTGCTTGAGTGCCACTGGCGTGATGGTACTCACACTAATCTCAAGGCGTATCATGAAAAAGAAGAAAAAACACCGCGACACCTTGCAATTGGCACAGTCCACAAAATTTTTGGTTGAACAATGTATTAGTACTGCTTTGGCTGATGATGAACAAATTGATGATGCTGAGTTTGGGAAAATCACCACCTGCCTCAAAAACTACTACGATGAAAAAGATAAGCTCCGACAACCTTCCACCACTTTTAGTGAGGACCTTAATGCGCATGCGCCGTAAAAAACGTCACACATCATTCCGTTACACTTCACTCCACACATCGTTTCACGATGTGCTCCATTCCGCTTCACTTCATGATGTGCTCCGTTTCAAGCATAAAAAAAAACTTTTCCAATCCGGCAGAAATGTCGGATCGGAAAAAATTTTTGTACCCCACCCGGCCCATTATTTTTTTTTTGGACTTAATTTCTCACAAGGTCGTAAGAGAAGTACTCCTGCTTGGTCTTTTTGCTGACTTTAAAGCCTGTACTTCTCACGAAGGCTCCTACCATGGGTCCTGTCTCTCTGTTCAGTCCACTGCAGGCCCACACCCTATTCGTTTCTCCTTCTCTGTTTTTCAAGGTGAGGATCTTACTCTTTCCAAACTTACCATCTACTTCCACCACTTCCAGGATTTTATAGATCACACCGGTTGAGAGTTCCTTCCATTTCAGGGTTTCCAGGCTCTGATCCTTTGCCTTTTCCTCGAAAACATTATCGTTCATAAAATCGTTGTCTACGATTTGTGGACTTCTGAGTTTCTCCATCTTTTGTACGAAAGCCATATTTTGTTTCTACCCTAGGATTACATCCTTCTAAGGTGTTTGGGTTTTGTGCTAAACTGAAAGACATTCTTGTTTTTACCCTTAGACTAATTGAAACGTATTGCGTTTGCATTTTATGTTTGGGGTTGGGGTTCCTATGCTGAATCTGTGCTTAAAAAGGCAAGTGCCGCAGAATCGGCCTATTGACACTACTCATAAGGAAATCTGTTTGCAATTACAGTAAATGTATTAGCAGATACGACAGGAATAAAATAAGATATCGAAAATAAAAAAAGAACGCATTTCTTCATCTCGTAGTTTTTGCTTCATATTTTCAATTTTCTTCTGCTTCTTATAATAAGGATTGGCCAGACTGTTCCAATTGTATTATTAATTTACATAAATAAATAGATATATGATTTGCTTAGAAAATAGCCTTTTCCTTTAACATTTTTAGGTATTGTACATCTTTTTAATTTGTTTTAACCTTGATCATATAACAAAATCTTGTATGTGCTGGCGTTGTTGTGCTCGTAAACAGAAAGATGAAAACGGGAAATAAACCAATTAGGTAATAGTTAATATTTAAGAATAACCAACTAAAAAGTCGCTGTAAACGCAGCGCAGTTAGTTCCCCCTGAACACATCTTTTGCAATCAAAGGGAGGTAAACTGTACGAGCATAAAGATACAATTTAGGATCCATAATGGAAAAACTCAGTACAATGTCTAGTTGTAGATGTATGCTAAACATTTACAATATATAATAACTTTATTGGAAAAAGTAAAAACCTTAACTATATAGATAATGCAAATGAATATAAACAATACAAATAATAACGAATGTACGAATGATAAATACCTGATTAAACAGTTTAATAGAATAATACAGAATATTTGATGTATATAAAATAAGGAGATGTGGTATAATTGCCGATGAACAACTATCCACCAACGTTCAAATGAAGTGGATTTAAACAATTATAGGCAACCGTACGGCCTTCAACAATGAGAAAAACCAATACCGTATAGACGGCTACAAAAGGCCCCGACTTGAAAACTATGAAACAATTCAATTGAGAAAACTAAAAACCTAATTTCTTGATAACCCTCGAGAGTGTTAAATTATGTACGAGGAAAATAGGAATTTGAATGTAAAAGAAATTATATTAAGATGGATAAGGGAGTAAAGAATTATGATCAACTTCTTGAAATCTGACAAAAAAAAATGTTTTCTTTAATAAATGATTCATTAGCCGATAAATCAAACCTGAGACTAATATACTGTACAACACTGAAGTCTCAGATCATACTACTCAAAGGTATATTAAACATCATACAAAAAGTCATGTCATAGTAACTTTCCTCGTAATCGGATAATTCAGTGAACAATGAAAAAAAAGATTAGAATAACCGGAGTACAAAATTAATGCTATATTTTTTTAAAATTTGGGTAGAAATATTATACTTTCTCAAACATATATATTTTTTCAAACGTAATTAGAAACTGGTTTTTATATGAAATTAAGTATTATCTTAAACTAATTTCCTTTAAACTTCTCCTAACTTTATGTGTACTATAAACAATAAATCTCATTACAGATGGGGTTAAATGTGATCTAATTAGACTTTAATTGCAAATAAACATAACAGAAAAAATTCTCTTAAGTTAGAAGTAGAAAATATTTTAGATTCGCGTTATTCGTTATTAAATTCCAACTGTAAAACATTCAATAAATTCTGATAAACTTGAAATATATTGTATTGTAAATTCACTTTAATGTGAATTAATTTTCAGATCTAAGTAATTCAGTAATTTCCGACAAACTTGTAGTAGAATTTGCCTTAAATTTTAAGTATATTTCTAAACTTAAGTAGAAAGGAATTTATTGAAAAAATAAATTTTAGTAAACGCATGCTTTCATGCAGTGAACATGACTTCGTGTTCATTCCTTAAATAAAGTATGACTTCATGTATATTCAATAAATCAAACTTGACTTTTAGAATATTACATAAATCAAACTTGACTTTCAGAATATTACATAAATAAAACTTGACTTTCAGAATATTACATAAATAAAACTTGACTTTTAGAATATTACATAAATAAAACTTGACTTTTAGAATATTACAAGAATCAAACTTGACTTTTAGAATATTACATAAAGCAAACATGGCTTCATGTATATTATATAAAGCAGACATGCATTCACGTATATTCCATAAATCAATTATGAATTCATGTAAATTCCTTAAATCAGATATGACTTTTATGAATATGCCATAACGCAAACATGCTTCATATATATTCCATAAAACACCCATGACTTCAGGTAAATTGCATAAAGCAAATATGACTACATGTATAGTCCGTAAAGCAAACGTGACTTCATATATATTCCATAAAACAAATATTCATTTGGTCAGCATAAAACATAAAATTTCCCACTAACTTAAAACTTATTATTTATTCAAGAGAAATGGGAAATGTTGTATTACATAGGCATACAACTTTGACCGTGGATAAACTAGCCTTAAAACCCGTAATTGTTTACATCACTATCATAGGCTGGGCATAATATGTTTTTTTCTCATGACTGATATTTATAATTAAGTAATAGTATTGGTGCATTATCAAAATTTTAGAAAATATTATGGAGCGTATAAAACATTATGAGAATGCACAATGCAATTATAATATACTTTTACATACCTTACATCAACTGGAACAACTTTTGGTTGTACTAAATTGTTGAAAGTCACCTTTCCCATTATTGTAACAGTGGTAGGCACTGGTAATATTCCTTCTGGTTCTATTTTTGTAACGGAGGCTGAATAGGAAATAGACACTAATAACTGCCATGACACAACATCTTTTCCTATGATATTGGTTACTGTAGCAGTGATCATATGGTGTGTCAGAGTAGATATTGTAAAACCCCATTGCACATGTCCAGTTCTTTCATCAATAGTCATACCAACAGGATACTGATTAAGAGCCCAAATTACAGGTAAACTTCCCTGTACAAGATTAAAAAAAATATCATAGATTATAATAATAAAGAATTGTACAATGACTTCATTATATGACCCCCCCCCCCCCCCACCCTCCTAAAAAAAAACAACAAAAAAAACAACAAAAAAACAACAACAAATAACAAGCGCATTATTTAGACCATTACACCAGATGGAAAAATCTGAACATTTTGGAAAGGTTAATTTAAAGATATCAAAACAGTTACACAATTTGATGGGATAACGTAAAAATACGAAACTCTCAAAAGCCTTTAAAAATCAAACGTTGATTGATAATCTCCTTTTTTAAACTTTGATATTATATTTTTTAAATAATAATACCCATATCAAAATAATTGATAAACAGGGCAAATTTCCATTCCTCGAGGATAAGTTTCCGTTGGATCCTTCTTAATAATAATGTATACTTCTCAGTTCGATCAAAGGTTTGAAATGAAGTTTTGGATTTCAAAGAACGGAATATTGTCATTTCTAAAAAACTTTCACAGCAGCTATATGGCTATCTTAAATCTACTGATTTCATCACAGATGATTATATAGAGTCTTATGATTGAAGTTTGATTCAGCAAGTAGGAATGATTTTAAAAAGTTGGTGTTTCACATCCAGTTTTAGAAAGTAGTATTGCTTATAAAACTAACAAATTATGAACTTGTCCTTCAAATTCGTTTCTTTGGCTTATAAGACTTATTGTTAAAGCATACCTGCCAACACACCAGTTCTACACATGCGGAGAAGGATCTGTTTATATTGAAGGAACACCTGAGATCACATCCGGTTTTTAGTGGGGTTCGTGTTGCTCAATCTTTAGTTTTATTTGATTTGTTTTGTGTACTTTTTTTGCCATGGGGTTGTCACTTTATTTTCGACGTATGAGTTTGAATGTCCCTTTGGTATATTTTGCCTCTATTCTAGGAGGGGGACTTCTCTTTTTTTGTAAATAAAATCCAATTTCCCCGATCCTGTTACCTGCGAAGGAGGTAAACGTTTCCCCCTTTGACAAAACACCCTATTTTCAACACCTTTCATTATTTCAGTTGTTTTGATAATATTTTCTGTGATTGATTTGCACCCTTTTGAAAAAAAAACAATACTTATTTGCATAGAACAAAAACATCCCATCTCATCAAGAATTGTTTTTACTATTTAAATCCTTCATAGAGAATCTAAAATTTTTGTTTTTATATGGAGAAATTTATTTTCTACTCCAAATTGGTATAGAACGGTATTAAACCGGAAAATATTAGGCATTCCTGTTAAATATGCTCACTCGGTGACAAAAAAGTAGTAGAATCAAATGATTTTGGCAATAATGCTTCATTTGCCAAATTTCTGTAATCGAAAAATGTAAAAGTGGATAAAAATCTTTTTAATGCCATACATGTACATGTGCTTTTATCGCCATCTTCATGGTGAATTTGATTCATTGAACCTCCAGCAATAACTTCGGGGAAAAGGAACTGTATTATTCAGTGCATTGCTAATCATAATCAGAGTATAAGATTATCTGGTTGTGAAAATAGCATTATCGATGTCGTTCTTGCTAAAATATAGCGTTTCTTTCTTATATGTTTCTTTCTTTCAGAATAAATTGATTGTAAATACTAACTAAGCATGATTATTACAATTCATTGTGGGTCAACTCAAAATGGATAATGTAAATAAAATATGATTTTCATTAGGTCAGTAAGTGTTTGCCATTCTGTTTGCATTGCCAGCTGTTTGAAAGCTTTTCGAAATTTTCAGAAATAGAAGAAAGTTTTGCTGATGATCCCGCATTCCAAAAAAATAAGACCCTCAACAATGCTGCAAGTATATCGAGAAGCAGTAAACGATTGTTTGAAATTTCAATATCGAGAAGCAGTAAATGATTGTTTGAAATTTCAATTTCGAGAAGCAGTAAACGATTGTTTGAAATTTCAATATCGAGAAGCAGTAAACGATTGTTTGAAATTTCAATATCAAGAAGCAGTAAACGATTGTTTGAAATTTCAATATCGAGAAGCAGTAAACGATTGTTTGAAATTTCAAACAATTACTATCCTTCTCCTTCTGCAGTTTTTACCCTAAAGCTTCTATTATTTATTCCTACATAAGATTGGGTGTTCTTGCTTGGTAAGTAGATGACAATGGTTTTAATGTAGAAAATGGTTATAAGGAATTTTGAATATTTCAATTATGGGTGTCGTGAACGTGTTTGACTGATGTAATATGATGCATTCTACAAGGTCAACAGAGAGAATTAGCTTCAATTCATCTCATGAATATCCATTAGTAATTTGCATATTAATCTCAGTGTGTATTTTTGAAATTTCATTGTGTAAATAACAATTCTCAGTGTGTGTTTTTCAATTTATTTCATCTCAGTGTGTCTTCTAAAAATCTCAGTGTGTAATTTTAAATTCTCAGTGCGTGTTTTTTATTTTTTTAAATCTCAGTATGTAATTTTGATTTCTCAGTGTGTTATTTTAGGTTCTTAAATCTCAGTGTTTTTTTTTTTAATTTTCAGTGTGTAATTTTTTCGAAAAAATGGTTAAAACATAGTTTTGACGAGAACGGCTTGCCATACTATAGTTCTATATTTGTCAAAAATATATGGTAAGGCATTTTTTTAATTCAAGTTAATGAAAAATGGGGATGCCATATGTCTTAGCTGCTCACCCTACCACAAAGGGTAGATTGAGAAGTGCATCGATTGTTTTGGTTTTTAACATAAATAAAATTATTAATATAAAAATAAGAAGATGTGGTATAACTGCCAATGAGACAAAACTCCTCCAGAGACACTTATTAACACTACTTTTTTATATTTTCAAAAATAGTATGCACATATACAATTGCTTAGAATTGTGTTCCACTTCTTCTCAAACTTTTAGAGATTTTGCATTCACAAAAATATATCTATTTCCCCAAACTAATATTAAAATTTTCACAAAAAGGACATCTACATCTTATGCACAACAATAATACAAACTTTCATCCGCTTCCTACTAAGTCTTGTTCTTTTATGCATACACGATAAATGTTGCCAGACAGACAGACTGACGACAAAAGTAAAACTATCCATGTGGGATTCTAATAAAACAAACAGGCAAACACTATTCCTCAAAACATTACTAAGAAAACCAAACATTGAGCATCATACACATAATCAAATTAAGTCAATAGTTCTAAATTTAATCCACAGCTAAGAACATTTTCCTATCCTCTAAAAAAGGTTCTGGAGCTCAAGGCCAATGCACGTAATACAATCTCTATTTAGTAAACTAATTATCTAACTGAAGGGATGTAATCACCGCAATTAAGGAATGTATCTCTTTCTTGGATAGCCCTGATTCATTGTAAGGGTCTCATCTGGTGCAGATAAATTGGTACTGTTAATGTTATGAAGGCTTATTTCAGAACAAAATAAATCAGGCAATAACAACATTCTATCAAATTCTTTAATAACAAACCTGAGTCAAGTTCAAACCATACTGGTATTTAGTTCCTTCCACAACATACTGAGATTCTTCTTGTGGCATTATCTTTGGAGCTAACAGTTCTATTGTACATCCATCTCCCGTCCATGGCAAGTTACAAGAACATCCACCAAACAAACACTGACCTCTAGGAGGCTCTAGGTGACGTCCACAAGCTCCTTGTGGGCATGTTGCATAATATGTAAACATTATCTGCAATGTATGAAATATCTGCATAAGAGGATGACATTCAAATAATGAAATGTTGAACAGTGAGCTATTGTTCACTAATGATACTCCCACTACAAGTATTCGATAAACAGGAAGTTAATGAGCAATTGATGTGAAAATGGGTCACAGCGTATAGCATACTGAAATAATTCTGGATTCGAAATTTCAGAAAACCCTGGATTTGTAATTCGTGAGAAAAATGCGGTGGTAGTTAGCTCATACGCTATTTTGAGATTAAAAATTAGATTTTTACAGTATACTGTACTACTTTTGGGACAATTTCAAAGGTCCTAACTAAAAATAAAGATAATTTTATGTTCAATGGTTCTTGAATTCAGTTTGACAGCTTCAAGCATACTCATTTTTTTAAATCTTTTTCAAACCGAGCAAATCACTACTTTAGATTCTTGACCAAAACTTGTAAGTGTAATTTCATCACCCTAAAATTATTTTATTCATAAAAAGTGAAGAAATAAATTGGGCATGTATATGAAAAAATGTTGCAAGTATTACAAACACACAATCCTCACCAAGAACAATATTTGTAGACAACGAAAATATAAAAGATGATATCCACTGTTTTCGGACCTACTATTCTTGATATTCAATTAAATATCAATCAACAAAATGTTTTACCTTATTATTCGTAAAATCTGTACCATTAGGTGATACTTCAAGGAATACGCTTCCTCCTTCATGCTGTGGTGCAGTACACGCGACATGGTTCCAAGCTTTCCATGTTCCATTGACTCTCTCTGAACCAAATTTACAAATGTACATATGCCCTATCAAGTCCGGGAAATTGTGTCCCAATACATGAACCACTGTACCTCCTTTGTCTGATCCTTGATTGGGTACTACTTGTAAAACCATTATCAAGGGGAGACAGTCAGGACCATAGTAAGTCTCACTGCACTTGTCACACAAGTAGCCTGACCAGTTGACACCAATACAATCACACATACCTGTTAATAACTATTTTATCAGCCAGTTACCACTTATATTCAACTAATGTTTATAAGAGGGTGAGGACAAACATTCATCTGCCTCAATCTCATTCTCTGCGTACATACAACCAATGAGACACTTTTAAATTCAAATTTAAGACTTCTTTTTACTTTAACTGTCATTTAAGCAAACTAACAATCAACCTTTCTTTGTTTTAAGTATAGATAAATATGAATAAAAGTACAGATTATCAGATTTCTAATTTATAAATATTTGATCGCACGGCATACCATGAAGGTTTTCGGAGGACAATCAAAGCTCCAATTGTTGATGTGTCAAGAAGAAATTTGACAGTAAATAGTTTTAAAATACATTTTATAATATGCCGTAACTGATAACCTATTATTGGTTAATATTTAAAAAAAAAATGTTAGACATGTTCTCTTCGCTTCAAATATTGCAAAACTTTTGATTACTCTTTACAGAATTATACATGTCTAGCAGCTAAACATAGGAATTACTTTAGATGAAGACAGAATGAAATGTTAATGAAATAAACAAAAATGTGCCATGTAAAATTAATAAGCAACAGAATTACATGTGATATAATATATACCTGTTGTAAGATTGCAAGTTCCATGTTGACAATCTGGACATTGACTACAGAAAGGTCCCCAGTGTAATGGAACACACTGACTACAGTCTTCACCATTAAACTTTGATGCACATTTGCACACTCCTGGTCTCAGACATATCCCATGCCCACTACAATTCTTAACATCACTATGAGGGATAAAATAAAACGATAGGAAATATGTGCGTATAAGCTTTTAAAAACTACTATTGATTTAATGGTTAACAAAATGTGTGTACATTTATGAAAAATATCTTTTATATGTTTCTGTTTTTCTTTAAAAAATGTGTAGCCCCCCCATATTCTTTGTGGGCCTGTCACAAGTCAGGAGCCTGTAATTTAGTTGTTGCCGTGTTAAAGACATGTTTTAATGAAGTCACAGTCAATTGTTTCATGAATTCACAGCTTTATTTACATTTGGCCATTATCATGATTATAAAAAAAAATCTAGAATCTGTCCTAACTTTTTTCTTAATTGAGGAGTTCTTTTGGTTTTTTTATCAATATTTTTGAAAACGTCTAGCAAAATATTAAAAATAGCCATTAAAATTGGGTTGGTTGATGACAATCTAGGAATTTGTTTATTTATGGTCCTTTCTGAAATGTTTTTCTGATTTTAAATGGTAGTGGCTCCAACATGATCAAATCTGACCTGCTACCTTGAGAGCTAGGAGGATGACCTTGCGATCTGACGTCTCATTGTGAACGATCTGTGATCTTTAAAAATGTTCAAAACTTTACTTAAAAGACTTACTTAAATTTGCTTAAAAGTGACATGGTAACCTGAGAAATTTTTTACAGCGACCTTGCGGCCTAAGGGGTAACCCTGCTGGAGCCCTATGATATAATACTGTTTTTGCCAAAATGATGTTCAGTGTTTGTCGTTTGTTGATGTGGTTCATATGTGTTTCTCGTTTCTCGTTTTTTATATAGATTAGACCGTTGGTTTTCCTGTTTGAATTGTTTTACACTAGTCATTTTGGGGACCTTTATAGCTTGATGTTCGGTGTGAGCCAAGGCTCCGTGTTGAAGGCCGTACTTTGACCTATAATGGTTTACTTTTACAAATTGTGACTTGGATGGAGAGTTGTCTTATTGGCCTTCATACCACATCTTCTTATATCTAATAACCATAATTCTTAAATAAAAAACCAATTTGTGGTAACTGGGTGTATGTTTTTAAATAAAAGAAACAACATATAAAGGCATTACTGAGAAAATTCACCTACAATGAAGGAGTCTTTCACAAAATTGCAAAGTATGCATTTAATATTAAATCCTGATCAAATAAAACTTTGATTCACATAAATTATTGTATCCACCATTTTCTACATAAGGAAATGCCTGTACCAAGTCATGAATATGACAGTTGTTTTCCATTCGCTTGATGTGTTTGAGCTTTTGATTTTGACATTTGATAAGGGACTTTCCGTTTTAAATTTTCCTTGAAGTTTGGTATTTTTGTTATTTTACTTTTTAATTAATAACAACTTTTCCATTGCCAGTAATGACAGATACTTACATACATAAAGCTACAATGCATGTATCACCTTCCCAGCCTGAATGACAATCACATTTGTTTGGTCCAACACATTGTCCATTTCCATAACAATGATTTACATCGGAACAGTCATACTCAGTACAGTTTTTTCCTATCCAACCTTCAAAATATGATATCAGTTTGAAAAGAGTCAAATCTGATTAATCAATAAAGAATTGAGTGATGTTTGTTTTTTTAATTTATTTTAAATAAAAGCTAGTGACCTTCACATTTTGCATGTATCAGTGAAGCTTTACTAATATATTTCTCATTTATTAAAATGAAAAAGTATATGTTGTTACAAACTTTGGCAGAAATTGTCGAGTGAGCTAAAATCAGTATCATTCCATATGAAATCAATTATACGTCATATAGCTAAAGTTGGCATTTCGATATAAATAGCTCGTAAAATATTTATAAAATTTCAAAGCTATTAGCTCGAAAAATATTTATCAAATTGCAATTATTATTATATACATGCGTATCATACTAAAAATAATAATATGTTGTTATGTATATAAATGAATTATACATATTTACAAGATATACTGTCAAATACTCTCTTTTCAAAATTATAAAATATGCGTTTAAAGCATAACAGTTTGCACAAAGTACATGTAGGCAATTAAAACAATATGGTAATTAATTAGGTGGGCGGAGCTTATAATTCTATAATATTCGGTTATGACAGAATCAAATGATTCATCTTTTGGCCATTAAAAGATCAGTATTTGTACCAGACTTGAAGACCTACTGTTAATATTCATTCATGACATAGGTTAAACTCTCAACTATAATCAAACTATACATATCTAATTAAAAGCTCCACCTGTGCTACTCTGTTGATGTAAATTGTAATTAAAAGCAACCAAACATCTCGATTGTCTTTCTTTGAGCCCATAAAAAAGTTCTCAAACAAATTTGACTTGCACAAAAAACTGTCACAAACAGTGAGAACCTTCTCATGTGAATATCTCCTCTTGAACCTACTCAATTCTTCATGCCCAGGGAATGTTTAAAAACATATATTTCTTTTAGCCAATATGATAATTGTTTTCTTTTTGCGGTACCATACACCTATAACGCAAACACATTTCCAAACAAGAAATAACAATCTTTTATAACATACTAGAATCGATCCATTCTCATAAGAATATTGTTTCATGGTGATGTCGTTTATACAGCCTGTTAATTCAAAAAGGAGCCATGTACATTCATTGATCCTTTGAATAAACGTATTTTTTAAGGTTGTCAATTTGTTTTTGTAGTAAGATCTTTGAACACTGCGTTTATCGATACTAACATTTATTTTGTTTTTGATAACAAAAACCATACTCATGATCCTACATCATTATTACAATGTCCATCAATATAATGTGCTTATATATTGTCATTGCACGATGTCATACTTTTCTGAGACTGAGTACTTATACATTGGATGTGTACTAATTGATGATTTGTGTTGGAGATAATGATTTATTTATTAGTTGTGATTGGCTTTGAACTGACTTTCAGTAGCTGAAAGAACTTTTCGATCGGTATTTTGTATCTTTTGTCTTTATGTTAGTTGTTTTTTGTGCTTTGTGCAAATCTGATGAGTCAATCCATTTGCAACTGATTCTAACAGTTTGTTTTTATATTGTGTTGCTACTCCACTTTCCCAGATTAGGAGTAGGGTTCAGCGTTCAAGAACATGTTTATCCTGCCACATTCTTTTCGTGCCTGTCCAAAGTCAGGAGCCTGTATGTCATTTGTTGAGAATGGTTGCTGTCTGTCCTATTTGTTTTATTCGTTGATTGTTATGTCATAAATCAGACCACTGCTTTTTCTTATTTGAATTGTTTCACATTTTGTCCTACCGGGGCTTTTTATAGCTGACTATACAATATGAGTTTTACTTATTGTTAAAGGCCATACAGTGACCTTAGGTTGCCTACATCCACATATTTTGGACACTAGTGGATTGTTGTCTTATTGGCAAACATACCACATCTTCCCATTTTGATACTAATCAGAACTAACATCATCATAGCTACCTTACCTGAAAAACACCTGCATCTGTTTGGGCTGACACATTGTCCTTGATTGCTGCAGTTGTTCACAAGAGAGCAATCTAATGTCCATTCTAGTAATAATGGTGCAACAGTCACAGACATTAGATTTGGGTCTTGTCTTCTGTCATAGATTCGATCATAAACCAGTGACAGCGTCATGTTACCAAACCAATTCCTTGTAGCATTAACTGTGTCATCTCCTACAAATCAAAATATAATATATATTAAAGTCATATAAAACTTCAAATTTTAAACAAAAAGTTGAATAATTTTTATATACTTATATGGCTAAGTTTTACTATAAAAGAAGTGTCCGTGAACTTTCTTGTAAAAGAAAATCCTTTATATTATCAAAATATTCATAAAAGTGCTGCTGATGAATTTCTGTCTTCCCGTACACTAATTCGTCGATATTTTCCCGTATGTAGTGACCTTAACTACGAGACCTCTCGTTAGAACTTCGACCACCACACAGCGCAAGTGCGAGGGGGAAAACTGTGATGAAAGAATGTAAACAAACGTGCACTGGAAGGTAAATAGTAATAACTGATTCTTAAAGAACAAATTTAATACAACAAATCATTGACCAACTATTAAGGAAAATTAATAAATGGGAACGCATGGAAAATAAAAAAAAAATAATATCATTGCTCTATCTATTAACTTTTTTGTTACGTGCTCCACATGCTCTGTGTTGATTGTTCATCATTGTCACGATCCGGGAAACGTCGGCAACAAACTCGAAAGTGAATTAGCTTGCGATCAACAATCATTGAATGAAATATTATGTATCGATAATACGTTATAGATTCGTTATAAATTAAAAAAAACCTGCATAAAGGACTTAGTTTAGTATATATGCATGCATTGGTGCAATAATTTCGATAACATTAAAATTACAGATTTTTCCTAATAAGGACTACAAAAATGTGTGTCACTATGCAAATAAATATTTAAGATAGCTTGACCATAGCTGACATGATTATCCAAAGAAGCCTGGTTGTTTTATTAAGAGAAAACGACATAATGTCGACAAACTTCAGAAGAAACCGTCTATCAGTAAAATTCTTTAGACGATTTCAATAGGTTTTAGAGATTTTCATCCTCAGGAATATTACATTTGTCAAAAAATGAAAAAGATCATCTAATAGTCTTATAAATTATTATCGTAATATTTTATGAACAAATATTTTTATAAAGTATATATTTGATTTTTTTTTTACCCAAATGGAAATTTAAATAATGTGATTATGCTTCATAATTTACATAACAGTAAAACAGTAAAAAAATGTCAGAGGCTCACGAAGGGTAAACAATGATGAGTATTTGTTAATTTAAAATCACGCTATTTACACACCAAATACTAAATTATGGCTGAATGTATTATTATAAAATATTGCCTACATTAGAAAATTATTTTCACTGCAAATTACAAAATTTTTCATGTATGTGGAAAAATATAAGGTTGTGCCTCAATGCTCTTCAATTTCGTTCTTTATTTTGCCTTTTTAACTTTTTTGATTCGAGCATCACTGATGAGTTTTTTGTAGACGAAACGCGCGACCGGCGACAATTTGTTTATCCTGGTATCTATGATGACTTTATTATCAATATTTCTGGTGGTAAAAAAAATTAGATATATGTATACTGAGTGGTGCATGTTCAACATATAACTATAACTGAATAAAAACACTTTGACAGGGGTAATCAGTAACATAAGTGTTGCTCATGTTTTATTCAGAAACTTGAATAACATGTGATATTTATTTATGAATATTTATTTTGTCCAGAATTTGAGATACAAAATGCCCAGTAAACCACGTATTTTAAAGTTTAAAACCTCTCTCGAGTAGATAAACATACTTATGAACGGGATATTCAAGTAGCATCTATATATCTTGCTTGTGATATGATTGGATGATATAACTGTTTGAATAACAGCTCAGTTTTTGCAGTCCAGGTCTTACCAATGAGAATGTCTATGAAAACTTCGGTGTTAAACACTACACATTTAAAGTATCCATATTAAATGGCAGGATAAAAACAATATATACATTGTATATTTATCACAATGCCTTATATACTACGGTTCTAGAGTCTTAAAGATTATTTAACTTAAAATAAGAGAGCTGTTGTGATTTTTCGTAGGACGTTTCGTAGGAATAGGAATTATGGCAAAGCACCTCTACGAAGGGAATCATTTTTGTTTTTCTGAAGACCAAAAATAAAATCATTTCCGTCCATATAAAACTGAAAACATTTTGATGAAAAATTTCCTTGAACAATGAGTAAAATTTCAAACTATCAGCAAACAGGAAGTGGCTGAATGACAGATGTAAATATTGCTTACACACTACAATATTATCAAACTATAGACCCCAAAAAAATCATTCCTTTTCATAGAAGCCACGGAAACTTTAACGAAAGTTTTCTATCCAAGGTCTTCTGACGGATGGACGGACGGAGTCAAGCGATTACTAGATCTGCTTTCGCCATTGGGGACGGAAGTCTAAATAACATATACAGTACAATAATATATACATTATTATTGTACATGTAACTATGTTTTAATCATTAATTGCTATTTTCAGGTGAATATGGCGAGAAACAGGGTCAGAAGAACCATTGAATTTAACAACTCTTTTTTTTTTAGATAGAAACTGCTTATTCAGCGCATTCACGCTTTGATTTGTTTATTTTCGGCATTTATTGTCTTCAAAATTTTTATACTTTTGACTTTCTAAATATCTATTAAATTATCTCAGCATACAAGGAGGTAGTAAAAATCCAAAAATATGTGAAACAATTTTTACTATAGAAACTTTACTTTTTCAGCGAATTCCCGCTTTGGTTAGTTTGTTGTTTTGGTATTTATTGATCTTCAATGTTTTATACTTTTGACTTTTATATTGTCTCCAGCATACCAGGTGGTAGTCACAATCCAGAAATCAAACACGTGTTGTGCATGGTTTAGGGAGCAACCATTTGATTTTTATGGGGGCTTGGATGATATCTGAAAAAAAGGCAGGACAGGAGTTTTGAGGGAAAAAAAAGGCAGGATGAGCAACTTTGCAAAAAAAAAAAGGCAGGATGACAATTTATGTACAAAAAAGTCAGGATAAACTAATAAAAAAAAAAGGCAGGACCGAATAGAGTGAAAATAAAAAGGCAGGACAGAGATTACAACTAAAAAAAAATGCAGGACAAAATTGTTCATCCTAGCCCCCCTCCCCCTTTCCCCATAAAAATCAAATGGTAGCTCCCTTATATGGTTTTAAACCCTTTCAAAATATTTTGAGGTATTAGCAATTATTTCTTTCTCATGTGCAAACAAATAAATAAAAGATGTCTTAAATAGCTTCTTATTTGCTTTATAACCAAGATTGTAAGAATGCTATTAAATCTGTTATTGTTGATCAGAAGGGAATACTTTGTGTTACTGATCCTTTTAAAGTGCACAGAACGGCATGCAAGGTACTATGATAACAGTCTGTTAATTTATACCTACCTGATCCAGTAGTATAGAAATCAAATGTAGAATCATGGTTGTCAAAGATGTTCTGAGAAATATTAAAGTATGACGTATCTAGAACCACTACACCACGAGATACTTCATTCAGGATAAAATTATTAAACTGCACTGTTCCCTTAGGATATGCAAAATGACTGTGGCTTTTTAACTCTATAACACAATAACCATTTATTCCCATGAATTTGTTCGTAAATATGTCAAAAACATGATACGATATGTCACGGAATCCATCTGCAGAAATACTGACGAAACACTTATCAATTGTTGGACATGAACTTCCTGTGAAATCATTGTCATGGAAACTAATATTAACACTGTCCCAAGTATTCAAGGTAATTCCACAGGTTTCAGTAAATGTGTTGTATCCAATATCAACAAACCTTTGTGCTCCATTTTGACTGCCATAGTAAGTTCTTCGGTAATTAGGTACGTTGATTTGCACGGCATTCCTTGAGATATTATTAAAAGAGTTGTCTCTAATTTTAATGCTGTTAGGAGAGTAGTAATTATCAACTATCAACTGAAAACCTGTCTGGGAATCGGTCACTTCCATGTCATGTATTGTAATATTTCCTGCATTAGTACGGTGTCTAAATTCTACATGAACTGCAAATAGTGACGATTTCTTTATCCCAATTTTATGCAAAGTTAAATGTCCAGTTTGATCAGTTATAAGTTGTATTCCTTCATATGAAGATGATATATCTAGTGCAGTAAATGAAGCATTAATATATTTGGATAGAAAAAGACCATGGTTTAAACAATTATTGAATAAACTTCCTTCAAGGTCAAAATTTCCTTCGGCACCTGAAAGCATCGACAAACATGCACCGGAACTGTTGTTAATGGTAATGTTTTTCAAATCTAAAAATTTATCTTTTGACTGTATTCCAATCTCTGTATTGCTGATGTAAGCATCATGGAGTTTAAAATAACCTATTAATAAACGACATTGTTTAAATAAATAGATGTCTACAATATAGAAAACCTTTATTAAAATATTTAAGTTAAATTAGTATGAAGTACTTTTAACTAATTTGATAATCCTTGAAACTTGGCATGATTTTTTTTTTCTGTAAAAAGACCTTAAATTTAAAACGTGTTTACTAAAACGTCACATTTATACTCGAACTTCACATTAACACTCAGACTGATATGTATTATTTATTTTTTGGCAGTCCAGATCAAAATGACATTGATCATTGTGAATGAATGACTTCATATATCACAAAACTACAGTAACATAGTAATAGAAAACATATCTTAACATAACTATAAGGTACAATTATTACATGCATCTGTGAACAACACAATGAAATTAACTTGGAGGACTGACTTTAATATTTATAATTTTGATAAATTTACATAATATTTCTAGTTTTACAATTTTTATTATGTTAAATAGTTGATCAAATTTATAGATATTAGTGTTTGACCAACTGTACTGTTGTAAAAATGTCGTTATTTCTAAATCAAGGGTTTTACAATTCATAATGTAATGGTACTCGCCATCAATGTCACCTTTGTCACAGAGACAGCAAACTCTGTCTTCTCTCTGTAAAACTTGTTACCACTCAGACTCATCTTGCAGACGGTGACTACTACGTATGCTGACCTATTTGCAGATATTGACTTACTGATCATTTTTGTTTTTAAAGTTCCTATCTATCTATTATAGCTTTCAAAATGATAGGCACAAGTGCGGGTCCTGAGGGTCACGCACGGTCGGCAAATTTGTCATTTAAGGGCACTAACTTGTCTAAAGAGTTGACAAACAATTTCAGAAATATCAACTTATTTGTAGATCTTGCCTTGTGGATCAATTTTGGTCTCTTAAATTCTCTCTCTATCTGTTTTAGTTTTAAAATGATAGACAAAAACGCATAAAAAGGATACAATTCGTCATTTGAGGGTGATAACTTCCAAAAGGAGTCAACTTTTTTCGCAATACAACTGATTTGTAGATCTTATCTTATTAATAATTTATACCTTTTTAAAGTTTTTATCTTTCTATTATAGTTTTCAAGATAATAGGAAAATATTTGAAAAAAAAATTGGGAAAAAATCGTCATTTACGGCCAAAGCACCTACAATAAGTCACTTGACAGTTTCCATGAAAATTTGCAGAAGTAAGATCTTATCATTGTGAACATTTTTGCCACTGTCAGATTTTCTGTATTTATAGTGGTTTTCAAGATAACAGACACATTATTCATTTTACCCGTATGTTCTATTTTGAGCCATGTCGGCCATGTTGGTAGGCAGGTGGGGTCATCGGAAACATTTTTTCAATTAGATACCCTAATGATGATTGCTGCCAAGTTTGGTGAAACTTGGCACAGTAGTTTCAGAGAAGATGATCTTTGTAAAAGTTGACAGACGACAACGACGGACTCCAAGTGATGGCAAAGGCTTCCACAGGCCATATGGGCCAAGTGAGCTGCAATTTAAGTTTAGAGAGGTATAACATATTGGACTGTAATGCTGGATTATTCCCTCATTTATGTAATTTGTATCTAACAATGTAACAAATTTCATGTCAACATACTATAAAAGTAAAAAGAGCTGATGTGGAAATTGTATTTTGAAGGGTCGGTAATTTGTAAAAGTCAATCATATCATGATGGCATCTATAAAATTTTCAAAGACAGGACTTCGATTTTCACATCTAGAACCTTTGTTTCAATAGCTATTTGTAAGCAGTAAGCTTCCATCAAGGAAATCATGATTGGAAAAATAGCCTTAGAATACTGTTACATTTGGGATACAAACTCTATAATCAGGGGCTGCCGGGATAATGCTAGAAAAATCTGGAAAGTTCACAGTTGGAAAACTGAAATCTTCATTCTTGTAATAAGAATAACCTCTTAACTGACCTTAGCTGTCAATTTCTATATTTTAGTCTTGATATGAAGCAGACATCTCTTTGTCTATGGGATTGATTCAATTAAACAAAGTCACCATGTGAATTATTGAGCGATAGGACATTATCTATATATCGGCCTGTGAAGTTAAAGGATAATGCTAGATTCTTTTCATTAATCTTGAAAAGAACCTGTATGAAATCTTCCTCGTACAAATAAAGGATCAACTCGGCAAGAAGAGGATCATAGCTGGCTTTCGTAATAATGACGATTGTCTGAAAAGGTCAATTAAACGTAACAAATCACGTTATCAAAATGAACCATCTTAATAATGTTAGTTTCATAGAACTTTTTGCTTGAATCTTTATGGTTCATAAGTTGAAAGAAGCATATTCATCAGACTTGGTGTCTTATTCCAATAAACACATGCTTAGTAGGATCTTATAGTGTACCTTATTTATGGACATAAGATAAGCCATGTAAGGAATTGTGATAACAATATTACTACAAAGGGTTTAAATCAGATGTCTGGATAAATTGATATTGAAATACATTGAAAAGATTGTAAGCACTAAGGTCTAATTGTTGCTTTTAGATGAATAATAATTACGTAACTTAGCAGTATCAGTGGTGCATGTGCAAAAAGAATCAGATATATAAATAACGGCTGAATTACAAGTTGTAGTCAGACACAGTATGATACTGATTTTTATATAAAGTTGCAATTACAATAACTCATAAGCTATTTATCACTTGAAGTTTAACTTTATGGGCAGATTAAAGCCAAAAAATATTTTGATATAAAAAAAAAATGCCAAAAAACGTGTGTGACATTATGAGAATGGGAGATTACTCAAGTTTATCAACTGAGAAATGGAAATTGAATTATGTTATTCTCCTCTAGATACATCCTATACAAGTTATAAAACTTGAGTTCACTTGGTATCCAAGCCTAAAAACAGTATTTGGTCTAATAAGTCAATACAATCCATCGGCAAATAAACTATAAAATATGGGTCACTTGAACTTCATCTTGAGGTCACTATTGAGCAGTTGGTAAACATTACTGACCAGTTGAACATTTTAATTTCATAAAACATATTGAAATTTGGTTAGAATCTTGAATGAATTTAAAATGGTTGAAAACAACATTATTAATCAAGTCACAGTAATACTATCCAACAAAGGATCATTGATCTGGCCTTGCTGCCATACAAATTTCGAATGCGATAATTATACTCAGACTCAACCAATCAGAATACTGGACTTTGTGTGACGAGCACACATTTTTTACTCCCCATACTGAGTAAAGTTTTATGACCGACAAAAAGTTATTTTCTTTTACATGTTTTATAATGTCCATTAAGTTGGAAACAGACCCCGTGCATTGCTATTTGTAAAACAAAGCCTAACAGATCAGTTCTCAGTAAATATTTAGTGATTGCCCATTCCGTAACAATTAAAATGGGGCGGTATCCTAATATTGAAATAAAACAGACCATTTGCCTGTATTGCAGCAGGTAATAAATTGAGGACGAATGCTAATTCCTCCAAATCTGCCCATGCTATGTTTATCGATCTTATACAACTAAATTGCATTCAATAATACAACTGAGGCATATGTCCATACTGTTGAGCAGCGGTTTACCAGTCATTATAAAAAAAACAATAGAAGTATAAATAAATTTTAAGTATGTGAACATGAACGTTAATGACTATAGAAGAATACACAAAAATTTGTAGTAATTTTTTTTCCACATGAAAGCCATGTTTACTGCCATATAATGTTATGATTGTCAGTGTAATTTGATTGTAACCATTGTTGTAGCCTTTTGTCCGACTGGGGATGAAGAGGATAAGTAAGTATGTAAATTATTGTGATGGAAAGACTTCCTTCTGAACCCTCTTCATTGACGAAATTAGTGTACACATGAATGAAAGGGTTTCAAAATACGGTCTTGCCAATGTAAACGTGTTTACACAAATAAAAGGCGTCTAATGTCCAAAGACGCATGTATTTGTCTCTCTCCAAGATTGAATTGTACAAAATAATACGTAGCTGTATAACAGCTGACTGAAAACTGACAGTGGATACACACTTAATACAGAAATAGATTTAGAAACCAAGGATGTTCAAATAGTGCCCCTCAACTTTAATTAAAAAATTTAGAGAATGAAAGAGAAGAGCTGCACTTACCAGTATCTTTTGAAGAAAAGACAATACCATACCATAAACTTGAAACTGATCCATTTGTAAACAAAGATTCACTTTCTCCAGCTTCAATATTCAGATTACCTGAAATATGTAAGAGTAATGTTCACAATCAATGAAATTAAATGGTTGTATCCTCGCTAGATTTCAAAGTTCATTTGACATCGATATTAACAAGATGTACTCTGAGCTATTACACTCTTATTGCAAGCTATGAAATTTCTAACTTTCAGCGTCATGTACATTCTTGCTTCTGATAGTGTTGCTCACTCTTGACAATAACTCCTGTAAGGAGTGGTCTGACAATTATAGTCAAAATGAACGGAATATAGATATGAGATTTCGAACTTTTCTTTGCCTTTTTTTCTATCTATCTATGTTTAAAAGCTTAAGATAAGAATTATAGAACCAGTTGACCTTTCATATCAAAGTAATGTTTCTATTTTATATCGCTACTTAAAAATTATTTATGGAAGCCAAAAGTTTATAAGAAATCTAACCATAGGTATGCCTATTTTTGTGAAACTTTTCAACTAAATGTATCAAAGTTAAAAAAGGGCAAAATTTGATCAAAATATAAGGCTAACTCATCGTAAAATTGAAAACGAAATAAAGTTTGTCATAAATTATTTAAATTCTTACGGCGAAATGTGCAAAAATACCTAGTGCTAGTATTAATTGGAAAATGCAATTAACAAATGTATGTATTTTACCACACATTTTATTGCTATGTCATCATTTGTTGTTGGTCTTGGTTTTTTAAGTATTTTTACTAGAACATATCACCAAGCACAAAATAGAAATTTATGAAAGAATCTCTTGTGAACTCTCATAAGTGCCAATAAGGTACAATTAATTTCAAACTGTAAGTTACCTTGTATATATATCCCACGTTTATCATCAAACTGCATCTTTATTCCATTTTCTATATGCAATGAGGCATTTGTCCTGCAAATGATTTGTACAAAAAAAAATAGAAAAATACATTCATCAATAGAAATCGTTGAAGGAAAATGAGTCAGTTCAATATAGGTGCACCTGCCTGCAGCACAAATATGTAGAAGAAAGACATAATATTGTCAAAAGAAGGTTAACCAGAATAAAAGACATGAATTTTAGGTTAAAGTAGTGGTTAAAGCTTGTTGAAAAAAGTAAAAAAATAGTATTTCTGAAGCTGTCAAAATGAAGTATAGACACTCATACCATAGAATTATCCATATTGTGAGTTACAGCTAATAAACTTTTCTATAAATTTGCTATAGTATGTTCCGAAAGTAGTACACTACTCTGTTAAAATTTTTATTGAAAAAGAGAAGGTGCGAGATATTTTTGTATTTATTGTCTAAAAGGAATGCATTTCGAAATAACTCGGGCCAGTACAGAAAATCGCACTGAGGTGAAAATATCGGGAAGTGATAAATTACACTTAACAATGTTACCATGTTGAATATCAATAAAAAGTGACAGTAGGTATGAATATGAACGTTAACAAAATAAAATGTTTATGCCATAGAAATTAAATAGTTATTTAACTGACAACACCATTGCAAAAATCGAGAAACGACCAAAAGACAAACAAAAGTATGCAAAACAAAAAAAATAAATAACCAACTACAAAAAAAAAACCTTGCGACACGAACCCCTTTAAAATTCGGGGTTGGTCTCGGGTGCTCCTAAAGATCCAGCAGACAATTATATAATAAGTAATGCTGTCAGACTGTGTACAATTTGTGTTTTACCCAAATTTGGTCGATACTTATGATATTCCGTACCATTGTGACGTGTAATTTATCACTTCCCTATTTTTCATTTTAGCGCTAATTTCTGTATTGTTTTTATCCTGATGATGGTGCCTCAGGCACCAAAACATATCGATATAAATTAAAATTACTGCAGCAATCCATGAAGTGTTATTGATATAACAGTCTTCACATTTTATGTATTTTCGTTACAACCCTGCATATCCACTTTAGGAATTCTATCGTTTTGAAAATTTACTAGTCATTGGTTCAGCATTGTTTATAGTAAACATATTATATTTTGTAATTAATTGTTAACAAAACTTCTGCAAATAAACAAATTCTACCTTAAAAACCAACACTTTTGACCAAATAATTAATAAGTTTATAAACATGTAACTCTTTGAATAATCAAGTAATCAAAATCTAGATAAGACATGGATGCATTCCTTTATTATGTTAAAAAAAATATTCTACAAAAGGAAAAAACCTAATATATAAAAATATTCCACTAAATAAAAAACCTTAGATGTAAACATATTTCAAAAAATAAAAATTAAACTTCGAGCTGAAACACAGGGAAGGATTTGAGCTCTTGGACTGAACACCGTTAAGTCATTGGCAAAGTATTCCAGTGAAATGGAAAAAAAAATCTTACTTCTAAAATGTAAACAAGTTTATTTGAAGCAACATTTGAGTCATTCAGTTAAACTAACAATATTTTTGTTTATAGATGGACAAGGGTAACAGCATGACCCCCTTCCCCCAACCACCCTCATTAATCATGGCAGCTGCTTTAAAAGTAAAGTCATGCTTTACCTTACAAATAAAGAGCGGCTAATTCTCTTTGCCTCCTCTGTGTATTCAATAGTAAACGTTCCTGTGATTTCCCCACCTAAGACATTCTGTACATCAAAATCATCTTGAGCATAGGCTACAAAGTCATTATTTTCTTCACTAGTGGAGAACGGCAGATAATACACATAACTTTTTTCCATCGATCTGTCAAAACCACATACCATTTCTACTACATCAACCAAACTACTACTTCCCCAATAATTATGTGTGGCATTGATTGAGTATGTCTCATCAAAAACAGGGGCTTGTAGCTCACACATACCAGTGGTTTGACGATTCATAAAGGTGTTTCTATTCACAGATACAACATGATAGGATTTAAGATTAAGACAAGAGTCTGTAAAAGTATTGTCCTTGAATATATTGTCAAAAATTCTAATCTCATTTTTTGACACAGAACTTGCAGAAGATGGGTTGACAGAAATTGTTAAAATATCTTTTGCAGTGTTATTAATAAAAGTGTTCTCAACTAGATCTACAGAATCTTCATCCCTCAGGACAAGTTCAATCAATGTTTCAGATGTTTCCTTGTTGTTGTTGAAGATATTATGACTAATGTCTATCTTTGCAGCATACTTATAATAATAATTTCGATAAAGATAAAGAATCCTTCTCTCAAAACTAAATCTATTAAACTTCATGTTAAAAGTTAAACTTCCAGAAGTATAACGGCTCTGAGCAAAATAAATTCCATTTTTCTGGTTGTATGAAAATGTGTTGTTCAGAAAAGTAACATTAAATCCCAAGATAGGTAACTGTTTATGTGTTATTTTACATGTACCATATGAATAATAGTAATCACGACTGTTATCTGTCACAAAACAGGATTCCAGTACAATCTTGTTTGTTGCAAGAACCTCTAGAGCATAAAATTTATTTTTATGTAACGTTGATGACTTTATTATAACATCTCCACCTTTAGACTGCTCTACAAGCACACCACGTTGCTTATTTTCTTGGATGAGGCAGTCTTCTATTACTGTTGCTATATTAGCATGTATGCTGAAACCACTTTCACCATTCTGGTACACACTACATTGTGATATTAGTATTTGTGTTACTGTTGTTATGTCTGCTGAATTTATTTGTATTCCATTTTTTTTATTATTCGCTGCCTCAAGTTCCTCAAATATTGAACAAGATATATTTCCACTTGTTTGCTGCAGATTGATTGTAAATCCATGTCCTTTAGAAAAGGTTGATGAAATATTTTTCATTTCAGCATAATTTCTTTTCAATACAATGCCTTCTAGTGTCCCATTGACATGTAAATAACACAAGGTTGTTGGGTAAACTCCTGAAAATATATTTCACCTTTAATAAATATAAATAAGAAAATGTGGTATGAGTGCCAATGAGACAACTATCCATCCAAGTCACAATGTGTAAAAAGAACATATAGTTGACTGACCGCAATGGGTCGTGGTCACGGCCAATTTTGAGAGTCAACAGGGTTGTGAAGGTGTTTCTGCTCATGCCATCCTCACTCGTTACGGTTAGCGCGGTAAAAGTCACATGTCATTGAGTTAATTTTTTTCTTTTCATTCTATAAATACTATTGGTCAAATACCAAATGCATCAAATAAAATAAAATATTTATTGTTAAAGTTAACTATAACAAATTAAATTGTTAACTGTCATTTGGGTTAACCTATTCCCTCCTTCATTCACTGTTATATTTGGTCAATATGAACATTCAAAAATATTGGCGTCATGTCAACGTGATATAAAATGAACGCGTCTATGTCCAATTATTTCATCTTTCTGAATACTTTCACGCTATACATATTGTTATATTTTAACACAAGTTAACCATCAAATGGTCTTTTAACACTTGCAACATTACTATTTCAAAAACCTGACTCATATCAAATAAGTATTTATTTCTGTTCTCTTTCTTCAACTTTATATTGATATTATTGGTACATACATGAAATGATATTTTAAAACAATTCTATTGTAATATCGACATGTTAATTCTTTACAGTGTTTTAAAGTGTATATCTGTCCAGATATAGGATATATGTATATATATTAAAGCCAGTTTACATAATAATTATACTGCTGTACCCCAAGTTTTTACATTTTTACCTATTATGTTTGTTCTGCTCACACATTGTTGGCAATATAATGGAATTCTATGCGACTGTCATACAAGTGAGAAGTTAAGCTAGCTATAAAACAAGGTTGAATCCACCATTTTGTACATAAGGAAATGCCTGTACCAAGTCAGGAATATGACAGGAGTTTTCTATTCGTTTGATGTGTTTGAGCTTTTGATATTGCCATTTGATACAGGACTTTCCGTTTTGAAATTTTTCTTGGAGTTCGGTATTTTTGATATTTTACTTTTTAATTAGAAATTGGTTTCTACTCAAGAAACATTTTATTCAATTGCCATAAATACAAACATTGAAATACAACATCCCATACATGTTTCCTTACTTTATCATTTAATTCTGAGAAAACGAATGATTACAATTTTTAGAACATACATGAAATTCTTAAACCAACAGATTTATACCGAAGCGAGACAAAACGTACCAAAGGAATATTTAAACTCATAAGTGGAAAACAAACCGACAATGCAAAGCAGAAAACTAAAAATGACGAAAAGTACAGAAAACTAAATACTGGGTAACACGAACCTCACCAAAAATCGGAGCCGATCTCAGGTACTCCTGTAAGGTGAGCAGATTTTATTCCATATGTGGCATTCGTCTTGTTGCTCATGTAAGTAAAAACCATGTAATAATTCTAATTAGGTCACATTCAAGTAAAATAGGACGGGATTGGGGTTACAACGATTGGAACATATCCGTCGTTATCGGAAACATATATTTGATAACGGTCCACCAATGCATAATGGCGTATGTACAATTTTCAAAGGGATGATTTCAACTTCAACACTTAAAACTGTTGGTTCAATAGCTTCCTTGTGAGCAGCAACCCTCTATCAATGAAATTATTATATTAAATGCAATCTATGGAATATTGTATCAACTTGGAGATATATATTCCATATGCAGACGCTATTGGAATGTTGCATCAATGAAATGGAAAGTTCACAATTTTGAAGCTGAAATCAACGGTATCGTTGTCAACCGACCTTCGTTGTCAATTAGATGCAATGCAAGATATGAGACAGACTCAACTGCATCTGTTGTCTCTTTTTTCAAGTTTGATGCGATAGATGCTTTTAACATAGTCACCAAACTGAATGAATTATTTAGTGAGAGGTCATCATCTATATAGCGGAATGCGAAGTTAAAGGATAATGCTTGCTTCGTTTTATTCTTTTTAAGAGGCTCCCGTATGTAGTCAGTCTCATATGAATAAAGGAACAAGTCGGCAAGAAGAGGAGCACAGTTGGTTCTAACGGGAATGCCGATTGTTTGTTGAAAACACGTCATTTAAAAGCAACAAATAGGTTGTCAATCAAGAGGTCAAGTAGCGTGATAATGTCAGTTTAAGAGAGAGTTTTGATTGAATCAAAGTGATATTTTATTAATTTGTCCCTCCCTAAGACAAGATACTTTTATCTACGTTGACCCATTTTTTTTATGAAACAAAGAAGGACCAGTTCTGTTAATTTTTCTTTTAGTTTGGAGTTGGGAATACTTGTGTATAGAATAGAAAAGTCAAATGTTTTAATACTATTCCAAGAGGAAAGAGACTTAGGTTTAATGTACTCTAACATGTCTTTGGTACTTAAGTACTTTTAAGTATCCATATTTTCACGCAGCCCCAAGAATATGTAGTTTCACAATAACATTAAAGCCCGGCTTTGGCAGCTGATACAATTGATGATTTAATACCAGTTTATATATAGACTGGTATTAAATCATCAGAACCCTAAACCATAGTTTGTTGTTATTGACATCATAAACGATCATGTTACAAAATGGAGCCCACGTAGTTTATGGATTGATGACACAGTCAACTCAGATTAGATATACCAGTATGTGTGTTAAGTGACCACCTAGTTAGACGACAGATGAGACCACGTGATGTGTTTGTTTACCAACCATGCGCAGAGGTCCAAAGATGCACGTGCTAATATGTACATCCGTTGATGTCCACATGCGTTTATTTACATTAACATTAACCGTTTCCAGTTTTGAAGATTTCTGAAATCGGAAGTTAAAAGACGTAAACATGACACTACTACATTAATAATTTAAAAAGAGGTTATGTGGATCACTTGGAAGACCCAGCAATATAACGTGTTTTATTAGGACACTTATAAAAATTGTGGTAACCAGTACAGTAAAGGAAGATCTAGTTCTTCATCTTTGGTTAAAATTCCGAAATTCCGGAATCAGACCTATGATTATTCAGGATACAATCGAACGATGTTTTTGGGGATTTATCTTCGCGGAAACAACATATTTGTTATGGAGGTAGGACAGATGCTTAGCAACATGTGAGTCTTTAAAGATCGATGTTCATATGCATTCATAGACCCATTCTTTTTTTTTAAGTCTAATTAGTATCAACGATCTTACAGTCTTATCTCATTCGAGAGTATATACGTTGCACGATAAGCCCACTGCCTCGCATAAACTTGACTGAATCCATCAGTATTTTGGAGTTGTTTTTCCAATTGACGGATTAAGGCTCACGATATTTCGGGCCTTTAATAGCACATGTTGCAGAAGTGTTAATAGCAATTTTCAGGTGGCCAGTAATAATTTGGCCAGCGGGATTATATATGAATGGGAAGCTAGGGCAGGTGCAATCAATCAGAAGATTTGACTTAATGTAGTCAGTATTGAGATACTGCAACACGTGAAAAGTTTAGTTTCAATTGGTGTGGTATAGGTATAAGATATAACATGTACAGATTAATCTTTAAAGAAGGTATTTTCGAGTTAACTGATTTATGATGACTGATATTGCCCAAGTTGCTTGCCTCGAAACTTTTGTTGGCAAAGATAGTTTTAGAAAAGATATCTTCTCCTTTTCATCTTTTCAAATGCGAACCGGTCTGAAAAGTCTGTGACTGGGAATATTCGAGATGATAGATATAAGTTTCTATTGGTTTGAATAGGGGTTTGAAATAGTGGGTCCTAACATAAGTTTTAAAGAAAATGAAGTTTTGAAAAGGGTAGTAAATAAAGCTTTGTGTGAATGTGATGAATACCTAACGGCTTTTGCATAAATGGCAGAAGGTCATTAATGGGGACAACATGAAGAGTAGGTGATGTAAAATGACGATGACCATAATTGCGTCTACGTCGAGTAGCAGAGTTAAAAATATTCATCCTATTTACCGACCTACAGGAAGGACTACATAGAATACCGTTACCATAAGTTTGTCATTGCAACCATATGGTGTCGCAGTTGCAAATTCTCGAATCTATTTGTCTTCATTTTGTGTCTACGGAGAGGTGTTGCAAGATGAAGACGGTTAGCCCTATGGTATATTTTTTGATATAATAAACTCTCATAGCAAAAATTCAATGATCAGACTGATTTAAATGCCGGTGAATAATGTTATTTGCGTTGTTGTTTACATCTGATGTATGCCCGTACATACGTTTATTAAGGCTTCTTTTCGTTTCACTGATAAATACTAATCCGCAAAGGTTACACTCTAATCCGTTGACGATATTTGTTGATTTACAATTCAGTAAGATGTTTTAGTTTAATTGCTAGTAATTTGAGAATCTGTTTTTAAAATGTTTCGGACTTTGCAGTGGATGTTCATAGCAAACTAGCAAAGCCGTATGATAATCAAATTCATTTTTTCAAACTTTTTTTGATTAAATGCTGTTCAAATTTACTGAATCTTTATAAAAATATGTTTAAAAGAAAGGGAAACGAAGAACAACACAAAACCCCTTTGAAAAGAACTAGAGGTGCTATCATGTGGTACGGAAGTGTAAGCAGATCCTGTTCCACATGTGGCACTAATCGTGTTGCTCGTGTAAGTTTAAACCCGGTGATAAGTCTTATTTAGTTGGTCAAATTCGAGGAAGAGGACGTGATTATGGTTATAGTCTGGTGTTATAACTCGAAAAATGGAGAGAATTTATTGATTTTAAATTGGGAATTCTGGATTCGCACATTTAATCATGGTGTCAGAAAAATCAAAAACAGTTTTAGATCAAAGCAGCTAGATAATTTAAAAGTTGATCACCGGATCACAAAGTCAACCAAGGTCTTCCTAACTAGATGTATGAGGAAATATTTATATGACGTTTCACAATATATAATGGTCAAAGGATTCTGGATAAAAAGCTTCTGAAAACAGGGAAATGTGACCTCGAATGTATATGCTTTGGACCCACAAAAAGTTCATGGAGAAACAAGCAAACCTTCTACAGTGTATATGTCTATTCCACGCCATGCTTCTCCGTGAACTGTTTCCAACATCATGACTGGCATTTCATTGCTTCCATTTACTATCAAGGTACCTGCAGTATAATGTAATTGAATCTATGAATTATAAAATAAACTTAGTAAATGTCTGAACATAAGTACAGTTTATAAGGAAACACATGGTACAGAATGATTTAAAAAAATTGACACTATATTTAAGGTTATACACAACCGCCCCACCAAACATAAATAAACATATACAGATATAAAGATAAGCAGATGTGGTATGATTTCTTATAGGAGAACTGGTCATAGACCAAAGTATAAAGATGAGAACAATTACAGGTTACCTTACATTCGTTAACAATGAGTGAAACCTATACCGTATTGTAATCTACAGCTTTGTTAAGGGTCGAAGCCCTTTTTAGATTCAAAGTGTACTAAAAAGTAGTACTGTCCAGGGGACATAATGGTTTTTACTTCGCAATATATTCTCGATGAACTATAATGAAATATAAATATTCTACCTCCATCATATTGAACTTACATGAGCAACACGATTGATGCCACTGAAGATTTTAGCTATTTGACTTATTTGTAGAGCTTTTCTCGCTGATTAGTTTTGCTGTCTAAAGTTTGTCTCTATCTATTTTAATATTGAAGAATAGCAAGAAACACGTCAACCATTTGAAAATAAAAAATCTTCATTTAAGGGTTATTAATTCGAGAAGGAGTCATCTGACAATTTTGGTCAAAATGGGCAGTAGGAAGATGTTGACATTCTGAACATTTTTGTAACTGCCAGAGGTCACTCAATCTATACCAATCTTCAATACATTAGCGATTTTGTACATTTTCCCCCTATGCCCCTTTTTAACTATTTTTGTTTTAAATCTTTCTGCAACTGGACGAAGATCAACAATAAAATCACTGTTCATTTTATTATCTGTTATATCCTAGTTTTCAATGAGACTTTTTTTCTGCGTGCACATCTAAAATTCTTTTTTTTTTAAATTCCATATGTGAAATATAATACCATAAATAAATATAAAGAAATGTTATAAATAAATTACTGTGTTTGCTCTGCTATTCTTACCCACAACATTAATTCCAAAATCTTTTTTAAACAATAACGTTACACCTGGTTCTAACGTTAGTGTATCAAATTCTCCAACTTCAATGTTTGATGTCACTGTATATGGACTTCTGTCAGCTGTCAATGTAAGTTCACCATTCACAAGACCCCCAATATCTCCAGTACTGCTGATGAATGGTGGGTCTTCATTTTGTATATCAGAGAAATTCCTTGATCCAAGATATGGTCTAAACATAACATCCATCAGCGTGTCATCATAATTCTTATCATAAATCTTCTGACCGATTTCTTTTACATCAGTCGTTCCCCAAAAATTAAGGGAAGCGTTTACTATTTCATTTTGATATTGTACGGCTGAGTTTACCTTGATATTGAATGTAGCGTTAGGATTCTCAAAGATGTTATGGAAAATGAAAATATTTGGTGATCTGAACAGTAATATGGTGTTTAGATTGTTTTGAAAAATATTCCCAGAAAGTAAAATAGGAGGAACATTAGCATTCGGTTGTAACAAATTTAATACGGCAGTTGATCCAACATTTTCAACAAACACATTGTCAGATATTGTCATATTTAAATCAGAATTATGGACATCTATTTTCACACAGTCCATGCATTGGTGGAACGTATTCTCTAAGATGGACGTTGCACCTACATTTCCATATATATAAACAGCATAATTCTTTACAGATGTAAAATAGTTGCCTTTTATGTCAAACAAATGACGAACATATGAAGCATACAGATACATGTACATGCCATACCGATTTATAGCTAAAGGACTGTGTGTAAAAACATTATCATACAAATGAAAGGAATGTATGTGACTGTTAGAGTAACGTTCATATACATAGAAATCATAGCCTGAGCTCATACCATTAAATGAATTATTAAAAATATTGATATTTCTTTCTAAATCAGTATTTAATTTTGAACTCTTGCTGCACGTAAATTGAAAATCAAAAGATTTTTCTGACATTCTAAATATGTTTTGTGCAACTTCAATATTAGAAGCTTGGGTACGAATATAAATGTTCCTTGAATAGGCATAGGTACATTCAAATGAAGATTGTCTTATTAGTGAATACAAATACCCAGAACAAGAATTAATATTAATTTGATAAGAGCTGTATGTTCCATATGAATTAAGATCACTTCCAAATAAATCAAGAGATATATTGGTGATACTATCTTGTATTTGTAGTTCAGAAATCTCAAAGATTTTTCCAACTTTACTGGAAAAGATGCTGGTATCATCTCTTATGGCTATACTATTAGATTTCCTGAATCCAACTCTAAGCATTTCATTGCTGACAGTAATGTTACTATTTCTAAAGTATATATTTAGCTCTCCAATAAATTCAGCAGCTACGAGAAAATTATCTGTTTTCAAAACTGTTGTATTATCTATGTTGACATCACAACTTTCCAAAACTTCTATACACATTTCTACATCTCTAAGTGTAACATTATGAAGGTTTAATCCTATAGCAGAAAAATTGATTAAAGTATGTAAATATGAGAGCATCAGACAAATTATGTATTAGTCCCATATTATATTAATAATACAAGTAACTGATTTCTTTATATAATAACAAGATTTTGAAAGAAAATTATACAGATAACCAAGCTAGCTTATGTACTTCAGCATAAATAAGCATGTCATTTATTCGTACATGTAATAATGAAATTCATTCTATTGTTGGGATTTTTTAAACAAGTATATATATACTATAAGCTTTTTGGAGATATGTGGCGTTACAACTAAGTTGTATGCCAACCAGCCGTCATAACAGGATGAACTTTTTAAAATCTCCATACCATCAACAGATCATCGATCCCAAAATGTTAAAAGATGAAAACTTGTAGTTTCAAAGGAGAAAAAAAAATACTTATTAGAATTAAGAGCTGGGCAAACATGTTCCTCATTTTGACTAAATAAGTTTGGAATTTTTAGATTTGATATTCCATACAATACATTATTCTTCTTTATATAAATGAAGCAAAACAATTACAACCAAAGGACAAGGATGTTAACAAACACAGGTCAACATAAGTTTGGTTCTGATTGGCTTTGTTTTTTTGCGATTGAATGACAAATAGGCATGTTAAATTGTTTCAATGAATTATTTTCGCTAATTGTTAGAGTACACGCGAAAAAAAACAAAAACATTGAAATATTCTAAGGTGAAAAAAGAACTTAAGCAACAGTAACCTTATTGATTGACAGAGACTCAGTAAACAAGAAATAGAAGTATTGGAAACATCAAAAGAAAGTAAACTATGTACAATGCGGCATTCTAAAAAATTACGATTTTTAGAATTTCTATGAAGGTATAAAAAACCATTTTAAAAGCATATTTATTATTTAATTTTGTACATTCTACAGTATGTGCCAATTAGTTCTGGCTTGACAACAATCAAAAGTTGTTGTTAAAGGGTTATAATAGCTATGATTTGGATAACAAAAAATAATAATGATTTGTTTTTGTTTTAAACATTTATAAAAACGGTATATTAAAATAATATTCCGCTTTTCGCTGTTAGTTTGGTTCAATTTTGTCAAAATAAGCTCAAACACATCGATAACGTATCATTGGCATGCAAGTCAATAATTCAACGTCATTTGAATCCGTATTCATGTAACCTCTATTGTGACCCCGGATAACACGTGCGATAACCGTGTTCATCATGTTCATTTATTAAAGAGAAAAGTTAAATAAAGGACTCACCATGAAAAATTATTTTGTTGATTGATTTGTCCCACACAAAATCATTCAAATGTAAGTACAACGATGATTGTTATTTTTTTCAGTCTATAACAAGAAATTAGGCAGTTTCTTACCTTTCTCGTAAATGTGAATCCCAGTCCATTTAAAGTCTGGTCCCTGTAGTTCAGAATTTGTAATTTCTAACTTTCCTGCAAAATTTTAGATTTTTATGTGCCTCAATTAATATACAAAGTCAGGACTATGTTATATTTATACATATGCTTATACTTCAATAATAAATAACAGTTCTTCTATTGTAAATCAGATGACACAAGTTATTCCAATGTATTTTGAAGAGCCGATCTCTTATACAAAATGCTATGTTGTCAAAATTTTATATTACTTTGACAGTATCATGGTAAAGTTTTCAAATGACAAATTTTATTTGTCTGCCAAAATTCAAAATGACAGCCACACAGAGTCCATCTTGGAAAATATGAAATTTACTATAATAGTACAAACAGAATCACATTCAATGTGATGTTTAATAATGGGATCTTTTAACAAACAGCCTAAAAAAACCCAAATCTTAATAGTTTCTTCTCGACCATTTTAATATTTCCCATGGTTTTTTTCTTATATCAGCTCTTAAAGAAGTAGGTCTTCTTATTCTGTTTTTTCTCTTTTGTAATTGTTATCTTGCTTTATAATTGGATCATCTTACATATCTATCTGATAGTGACATCACTTCTAAAGCCTTCACCATAAAGTCTTGTGTGCAATCCTAACATGTTTTTTATTATGTATCCTATTGGTTTTATAAAATGTGAAATACTTGACAAAATGCTTGACATGACAAGAATAATTAAAAAAAAAATCCCCAAGAGAAAGTTTCTGACAAATATCTCTAATTTCATATATTAATAAAAGAGACGTAGCTATTTGTTAATGAGTCATTCACCCAACACAACAAAAGACAACTTATGTATATCCTGCGACCTTGGGAACTACTTTAGGATTCCCATGGCATATATGAGCCAACAGCGTGATTTTCGTTCAGTTTTTGTAAAGAGATATTTTGCAAATTGTAACCTTGATATGAAATCTTATTGATTAAGTAAAAAATAAATCATCAACTTACATAAACTTTGTAATAGGACACATCAACTGAAACAAGAGGCTCCCGAGAGCCTGTACCGCGAACCTGGTAAAAATATACTACCGGTATTTTGATATTTGGTTTACCCTTACTTCAATCAGTTATGGCTATTTATTTATAAATCATTTTAGTGGCATTTATGTAGATATTTTTTAGATGATTTTTTTCTGTTGTTACAGTTTTGATTTACTTATTTCTTTTTTGTAGATAATTAGCAAAAACATGTAATGATTAAAACACTTTTGCCCACCTGTCAAATTTTTCTATATCTGTAAAGGTTTTCAAGATAACAGACAAAACTTGCATTTTACCCATTTATTCTATTCTTAGCCATACCAGCAATGTTAGTTGTAGGGCAATCTTCTTTCGAGAGCAATCACTCTTATGAGAGGTCGATTGACAATTTCGGTTATGTTGATTTATTTGTGGGTCTAACATTGCAAAATATCTTTACCATTTAAAGTTCAGCTGTACCTATCATAGTTTCTGCAAAAAACTTAATAAATATTGTCTTTCAGTGGCAATAACTCTTATAATGGATCAATTTACATTTTGGTCATTTTATTTTTTTGTAGATCTGAAATTGTTGACCATTTTTGTTGTTCAAAATTGCTATTTATCTCTAAAAGTTTGAAAGATGATACCTAAAAACATAGAAATTTCTTGAAATTTATTATTTCAGGGACAATAACTCCAAATAGGGTTGTGTGATATGTCTGAAAATTTTGTGGCAGATACATCTTAATATGCTTATCATTTTAATCCATATCAGTTTTGCTTTAACTGATCTATATTTTGAGATATATGCCAAAAGGCGCATTTTACCCCTATACTTTTGCCATGTCAGTCATACTTCTTGATTGACAAGAATAAAAACGAAACGTTATACTAGATGCCATAAGGATCATTCAGCACAAGTTTGGCTGGAATTAGTCCAGTGGTTTCAGAGTAGAAGATCTTTGACAAAGTTTACACCGGAGGACGGACAACGGTCTCGAAGGGATGGCAAAAGCTCACATGGCCTTTTAGGTCAAATTAGCTAAAACAAAAATTAGAACTACCCACATCAATAATTGTATTGCATACCATAACTCCTTATTCCTCTGTCCTCGCTGAAATTAAAGGATGCTTTGGATATCTGTACATCACCATTTTCTGTGATTAGTATACTTCTGTTTACAATAAATATACTATCCTCTGGGAAAAGCAGGGGAAGTGAACTATCAAAAATACCTTCAACTATGTATACATTTTCGTCTGATTGTTGAATGAATTTAAAAGCATTAGATATGTTAAGTGTTGAAAGCATTGTGACATCTATGTAAAATTGATCTACAGTTACCAGTGCTGCTCTCGAGTCAACAAAAAAGTCACAAATCTTTGACTTGATAGTATCTGTGTCTGTGTGACCCCAAAAATTATAACTGGCTGAAATTGTATGAGTTCTGTTGAATTTACTTTCAATCTTGATGTAACATGGCGTAAACAGGTTGTCAATAAATTTGTTCTCAGAGAAAATGTGTTCAACTCCATCTTTAATGTCTATAAGAGAAAACATCACGCAACTTTCCACAATATTTCTGGTAAAATTCAATCTAGCATTAGATATTGTAATAAAGGAAGTTTTGCTATTACTTGACACTTGGGTGTTGTTCACAAATACATTTCCTTGGATATTGATTGGCATAATACTGTCCGGTCCATTAACGGATATTACAGCATACGAGTTCCTGAATGTATTATCAATTACCTTCCAAATCTGATTTGTGTCCTAGTTTAGTGAGTCCTAATACTGGAGAGCTGCCAAGACAGTTATGGAAACTGTTGCCAATTATACTAATGCTTATCTGCCCTGAATGATAGACATCAACAGATCGGTGAAAGTTACTTTCAAATGTTGTGTTGATAACCTTAAGGACAGAATAGAAACAAGAATAACAGTACATATACACTGATTGTTGTCTATTGTTAGATAACTCGGAGTTCATAATAGTCATATTTTCTGTGTAAGAGCTTGCATACCTTCGATAGGAATAAATTCCAATTGATCCAGTATGGCCTTTAATGACGGTGTTATTAACAAAAATACTAGCAAGGCCCGTTGAACCTGAATATATACCATTATTGGAGTTACGTTCAAAAGAAGACATGTCTATATAAAGACGTGATAAAACATCACTTAATGCTCTATTGTACCAATTACCAATCTGTATTCCATATCCAGAATTAAGACTTATATTACATTTTTTTATGAAGAGCGATGGATTTTCAATCGTTCCTAGAAATTGTATTCCATATTG